GCTGGAGAGGAGTGGAGGGGGAGCTGGCCAGGTTCTGCACCCAAGCCCTTGCTGTCCTTAACAGAAGGGACCAGTCCAGCCACCCCTCGTGCTCCCAGGCAGCAGATCTCACTAATCTGCCGGGAAGGGAAACTTCTCCCGTGCAATTTTTCTCTTTAAGAAAAAAAATATTTCTCATCGTATCAAAGTTCAAATGCACATGTGGAGGTTGGGGGGGCTAAAATAAAATCCTGTTTTCGGATGGCTGTGGCGGGGTTGGCATGATGGTTTTTGCTCCTGTTGTAATGCAGCAGGCTGGGATTTCACAAAGGCTAAAGGCTTCAGCTGGGAAGAGGGGGTGCAGGGCTTTTCCTTCAGGATCTGAGTTTGTACTAAAAGTCTTAATGCTTAAAAAAAAAATACAAAAATTTGGGAGAAAGGGATTATAGAGTGGCTGAGGATGGATCAGTGTGCTGGGGCTCTGCCCCTGCAGTCAGCCTTGTGCCTCCACATCATGCGGGCTCCTGGTCCCACAGATAAGGGGCCAGGCTGTGGCTCAGCCTGCAACTCCCGCTCCTGCCCCGAGGGCTACTGCAGCAATGGGGGACACTGCCACCTGCACCCCACCACCTGCACCCCCATCTGCGTCTGCCCCCCGGCTTTCACCGACCAGCACTGCCTGGTGGCGGGGGGGGATTTTCAACCACTGCCCAGCACAGGTGGGTGCCTGTACCCAATAGGGGGTGAACCCCAACCCCGCTTGCCCCAGTCCTGGGATGCCAGAGCCACCGCTGTGGCTTCCCCCCAGCAGATCTTCCCCGGAGAAGTGTCCAGCTGCGGGTCAGAACACTGCAAAATGCCACTGCCGAGGAAGTCAACGGCACCGTATGTCACCAGAGGGGATGGGCTCAGGGAGGGGGACGCACTGGCACACCAGGCAGCATGGCAGCTTGGGGTGCCTGTGCTTCTGTGCACCTCCCTCCCATGGGATCCCTGGGGATTTTTTTCCACAGGGCCGGAGGGAGGCAGCGCCAGCCACATGATGCCAGCTGCGGCCGTGGCCATGTGCCAGGTCCCCAGCATGTGAACAAAAGGCCAGAGCAACCCCTGGGGCTCAGCCATGGTGCTTGCATCGCCCTTCAGCCTCTCTCCGTGCCCCTGGCTGGGTTTGTCCTGCCTTCCCCTGTGGCCCTCCCACCCCCCCCCACCACAGGTCTCAGCCATCCTGGGCTCCCTGGAGGTAAAGGCTTTCCAGAGCAACACCAACATCACCCAGACGTGAGTCGGCTGCAGAGCGGCCCCATGCCCACCCCAGGGAGCTGGTGGGGCAGGGCTGGGCATGGGGCCACAGGGTTTGGGGACAAAAAGGACATTTTCCCTCACGCCCCCCCCCCCCTAGAGTGTTTTTCCAGCCCTGATGCTGATAAACCCTTGGAGAGACAAGCCCCGTGGCACCTTCCATCTCCTGCCTCATCCCTTCTTTACCACCCCCCAGATGGGGAAACTGAGGTACGGTGAGACTCGGTCATTCTGTGATGCAGCAGCAGCTTCACCAGCAACCCCGTCTTTTCCCTGCAGGACAGACAACAATGGCTTCACCTTCACGGTGGTGTCCGAGTTTGCCTATGACAGCCGCGGCACCGTCATCCAGTTCCTGAATGAGGAGCTGCCAGGGGCCATCACCAGCGCCTTCAACGGGCAACGAGGATGGTGGGAGGCGGGCACACAGCTCCTCTTCCAGCGCCTGCACCGGGACAACATCACCGACCTGGTGAAGCGTGAGTTGGTCCCAGCACCGAGCTGGGAAGCCCGGGAGGAGCACCTCACTGTGCGCCCCGGGGTTCGGGTAACACCTGCGGGGGAAGCAGGTGGGTGGCAGTCCCCACCCCAGGCACGGAGCTGGCTCAGGGAGACCTGGAAAAGCGTCAAGGGATGATGCTGCCATGAGGCTGAACCCATGCCGTTCCTCCCCAGTGTCGGTGGCTGAGCTGAGGCGCTATTTCGCCTGTGGTCTGTACGGCTACAAAGGCTACCGGCTCCACTATGCGGGGACCATCGGCTTTGTCTGCATCTCGCCTTGCAAGATGGGCTACTGCCAGCATGGCGGCCAGTGCCAGCATCTGCTTGAGGGGCCCACGTGCAGGTAGAAGCAGAACTGGGGACAGACAAGGCCACTGGGCATGGCTGCATCTCCCCATGGCATCACTGCTCTTCCCTCTCCATCTGCAGCTGCCTCCCCTTCTCCATCTTCTCCCCTGCCGGTACTCGGTGCGAGCAACTGGCCATCAGCCTCGCCGCCTTCCTCGGCATCTTGCTGGGAGCCCTGGCTCTGCTCTGCCTCCTGCTCACCGTTGCCTGCCTGGCCTTGCACCTCTGCCGCCGGCACTGCCACCAGCACCAGGGGTGAGCCATGGGCTGGACCCACACAGGGGTGGGAGCTGTGGGTGTGTCCGGGAAGGAGATTGGGTGTCAGGAAGAAAAACCGGTGGAAAATCCATCTCTGCAAGATCCACCACTGGTGGTACCCATCTGGCCCAGGCAGAGGGAGCCTGCCCTAGGGAACAGGCTGAGCCGAGTGGTCTTTTAGAATCTTGAAGCCCCTTTCCCAGTCATCTACTGCTCAGGGGTGTGATAACATCAGCGAGTTGGACATTACCTTCCCTTTTCCCCCATGTCAGGGAATATTTGCGTTTCTTCCTCATTTCACCCAGTGCTTGGTTGCAGACGCACTTTCTATCTAATTTTAATTTTAATACCGTCCAAATGATTTCCACTGCAATTTATGTTGCTCTGGAAAGAGTTGATCTGGAGCAAAAAAAAAGGCTGTTGCAGGACTGGACCTTGATCTCCTGCAGAGCAGGCAGTTAGCAGATGGTTGATGAGGTGCAAGGCCGGGTTGGAAGCACCAGCATCTCCTTCTCTCCTCCCCAGCCCTTGGTCCCAGCGTGGCATCCAATGCTTAGGGGAAGCTCAACACCCCAAGCCCCCCCGCGCTGGTTGGAGCTGTGTCCTGCCCCTGCTGCCAGCTCCTTGCTGGGAAAGCGCCCCTGTTCATTTGCATATGTGGCAAGGCGAGGAATTGCATGTGCACAGCAACTGGGGCTTTTCCTCCTCTTGTAGCCTCATCTTGCCCCCACACTCAGTCACTGCTCCCCACTCCCATCTGACCCAGGCACCAGGACCAGGCAGGGGCTCTCCCGGACCCCCTGACATGTCATCCCCTTTCTGCTCCCCCCATGCTAGAGTCAAGGAGACCTTCTGGAGGCCACGACCTTTCCCCTGTGAGTACATCCCTATGAAACCTCCCACCATGGCTCTGCTTCACTCTGGTCATCTTTAAGCTCTGCTCATGTTCCCCGCTCCAGCCCTGATGACAGCAGGAGAGAGGGCAGAGACTTCCTGCTCCCACTCCCTGGAAAGGCATTGGGAACTGCAGCTGCAGGCCATCGACCCCTCAGTCCAGGTCTGCTCAGGGTTTATTGTCCCCATGGGGTGTCAGGGTGGGGGACCATGGGCTGGGAACTGAAGTCCTGGCCCTGTGTCTCAAAGATGCTTGGGAATCATGCCTCGTCCCGCAGCATCACAGATGCTTTGGCTGGCATTGGGATCTATGACTCTGTCTGAGCTTGTCACAAAGACCAGAGCCTGTGCAGCACCAACAGCACAGGGTGACCTGTCCCTCCTTTACAGATAAGGATCCAGAGACCCCACGTCAGGCCCCCGAGCCACCCCCCCCAGCAGCCCTAGCCTGCCACTGGTCCTGCCCCGGCACCTCCGGGCTCATGGAGGAGCCAGATGCTGCTGCCAGCTCCGCTGCCGGCTCTCGGGGTCTCTGGCAATGGTGCCTGTGTGGAGGCAGGGGATGGGCAGCTGCCTTTTGGGGTCTGACCTTTGTGGGAGGATTCATTCTGGAGGAGGTGCTTTTTTTGAATGAAAATCATGGGTTTATGTTGGGTGGCCAAAGTGAGAGGATTTCACCTTCCCCTGAGGACCTGCAGAGGCAACCAGGATAGTACTTGAGTGTGTCTGCACCAGGGTATGCCAGGTGTGGCAACACAATGATTATAACCCCTTAGGAACAAAATAGAATAAACCAAAAATTATGGCATGCTGCTGAGTAAGTTGCCTGTACCCCATGGTGCCCGTGCACCAGCCCTGCTTTCCTGTCACCGAGCTCTTGAGTTCCTGCCTTCTGCTGGTCCCATCCACAGGGCCAAAGAGAAGAGGGATGTAGGGGGTTTTTTGTGGCTCCATCCCCTCATTCCCCCTGCAAAGCTGCAAGTCTCCCTCACTGCTCTCCCCAAGCATGGCTCAGATCGCACAGGTCGGGCTGTGGTTCCTGTAAACACCCTAAACACCCCCTTGCCCCTGCTGAGGGATGATGCTGTGCCCAAGGGAGATGTGTCAGCCCTGGCAGACCCCAGCTCCAGCCCTGCTGCCCCAGAGCCTGGCCCGGCCGCAGCCCCGACAATCCA